TCCCAGTGATATTACACGCAGTGAATAAGAATACGATGATCGAATGGAAAGTATCTTGTAAACAAATAGAATTTATAAGTATGTAACATATAACAAACCATTCTTTCAGTTTTTCAAATGCCTAATAAGAGAAAAACTCATTTATTACTATTATATATACGAAATACAACGGTGTTTTATCCATTGCATACTTATAAATACTATCTGTTTACAGGCTACTTTCCATTCGATCATCGTATTTTCATTCACTACGTATAATATCACTGGGAACAATTCCTTATTTTTCTTATGATGCACTTCTTATTCATATTCTGGTACTACTGAGGTATGAATCATAGGTTGTTGACAAAAAGGAAAATAACAAGCATGTGGTGGTGTATGTACTTATACAGAGAGAAGAACGAACATCGTCTATTCTTTTTCCTTTTTGGGTCAAAAAATATAAGTATGTATATGTCATCAATAGCAATAGATCTCAAAACTATGTATTCCATTCATTCTTCTTGTCATATCCACAAGTCCACCTACGTAATGATCTACTTGAGTTCAATCAGATTTTTTTGAGAGAGAATAGAATTTATTTTAGATTGATATGATAGAATTAGAGGGAGTAGAGAATTGTTTCCTGTTAAATCTCCTTACTATAAGTCTACCATCACGCCACTGTTTTGTCAATACGACTTTGAAGATTGGAGGAAGAGTAGCTAAATTGACTTCAGAGACTAGGTGGACTTGAGGGAGAGTATGTGTAAGTGCAAGCCGGTGAGGGTGGACGATGTAGTTATTCCATATTATGCACACACCTACATTTCTCTAAAAAAATTCATTGTTCTAAGAAACCGTTCCAAAACGATTTTCGAACATCTGGAAACTGCCTTGAGTCGGTTTTATAGAAAACGAAAGGTTTTTTTTGAGAGTACCATGCTAAAATTGTTTTCGAATTAAAATAAATTCAAATCATGACAAGTTGAATTTATAGTCAAATTTAATATTGACATCTATTTTAATCTGTTTAGATTGAACAGAAAAATGATGAAGCTAGACGCAAATCTATATAATGAGAACATAACTAAGCTATACGGTCCTCAAGTCTTTCAAGTTTCCCTAGTCCTTCAAGTTGCGCTATGTTGTCGAATTCTCTATTGCCCTAGTGTCAGACAAATGAAATATGGCATTGATAAGAGGATGGGTGTGGATGAAGGTTAAAATCAAATATTGAGATATATCCGTGTGGATAATAAATATTTAGTAGAAGAAATAATATAGTTCTGCTGAAGTGTGTCATCATCCCACTATTTGAAGCAAAATCCATATTTTTCGTTTTCTGTGCCACATTTCTATCTTCTGACATGAGATGAGACAGTGGAAGTTTGTTTCGCTATGCGTTCGCCTCCTTTTTATCTCCTCTGTTCTCAGCTATTCCCACCTCCACATCATGCCCATAGATCTTACGCTAGTAAAGAAGAGTCAGCACTAACATTTAGCTATTTACCGATATTGAACAAATAGAACACACTTGATGTTACTGCATCATGATAATCGGCAAGGAGAAGTTCAAGCAGTAATCTCTGGTAAGTCATGCACGATTTTGATTACTAATCAATAACCTAGAAAAATGATTTATTTTGTCGCATAATAGGCGTGACCTTGGATTTGTGTTAGTTATTCTTTTGGATTCATTGTTTTCTCTCCTGAATGACATCATCTTAACATTTTACAATGATGAGAATACTTCGTTCGACATATAGTAACTATCGCATATGAATAAAGAAATGTGTATTTAGACTTTATTAGATGATCTAATAGAGCAGGCACTTTGCTAGAGACTGTCGAAGCCTTGAAGCGAGAACAAAACTGTTTGTTCAGTCGAAGAGAGTTGTTGAGTAGATAAATCAAGAATGGTAGATCGTTTCATAAAATGATGCTGAATATTGTATTTTAGATAATGTCTACACGACAATCAGTGTTCGAATTTCTCTCTGTATCTGATTCGTTGACATCAATCAACAAAATTCGTCTCGGACAAATTCGTGCTTCTTATGATCTTTTAAGACTGCAGACAACCACTACCACAGCCGTCACCAGCGAACAACCGCTCAACAACTTGGCTACACAATTCAATCTTCTCGATGATGCCGGTAATCTCGATCATTTAAAGTTGTGCGTCCAGAATCCAACTAACATAGACCTTGCCTGTCACGAACTCGTCTCGGAATTTAATCGGATGCGGTTCACTCGAAGTTCTAATCAAAGACGACAAGCACCGACATCGCACTCAACTCAAGAACAATTGCCACCATCATCAAAATCGACTGTTCTTGAATCCGTAAAAGAAGTCACCTGCCGTATTCACGTTAGGCAAGATCAGCCAGCCGTACACGAGTTTATACATCGATTTTTGTTTCAATCCCTCACCATGCCAGTTGTATTTCGGTACGATTTATTTCAGTTCAAAGAGACTATGTTTAAAAGTTGTGGGTGTCTTAGAGAGACTCTCCATCATAGTACTCTCCGACTTGACGAGTTTTTTCGTATAAAATACCACAGGACCTTTCTTTTCAAGAAAAAGTGTAGCTCTATTTAAGTAATACATTCGTTCGTTATTCATTGCTCGTCTCATAATATTGTCCATCGTTAATTGTCTTTTAGTGTTACTAATTAAAGTTAATTAATATTCAGAATTCTCACAGTATAAAGCATGAAAACATTGTTTGATAATTGTGCATCTATAATTACGATTTTCATGTTTTCGTTTCGCATGAACAGAGACTCAACAACAACGACTTCCGATCGGTTGCCACCGATGACAGGTTGTGTTCTTGATGTATTCATTCGTGAGCAACTACTGGCGCGAGGTACTATTGATGTCGGTCGTCCTCTTCGCAAAATACAGTTGGTTGAACCGATTACAATCGATGATGAGTTCGATACTTGGTATTTTGATCACATGCGTGGCGTGCTTCAACTCTGGCTGGTAAACAACACCGGTCCATCATTTCCTAATCGATGGAAACTTGAGGCCAATGCCAATATCTCGTACATAATCGAAACGGGAGACATCAGTAAGAACGACGACGATGATGATGAGTTATCAAGAAATATGCGCAACGTCGATCGACCGAGGACAATATCATTGGAACACTTCGTTCACGACGTATGCGAAAAGGAGAATAATGGTAAGTATGACAAGTGGATTTCGGCGTTGCGTGAAGATGATGTCACCACCTACTCACATTTGGCTAGTTTGAAGTACAGTGAATGGTCCGAGCTAAAGGTATTGCCCATGAACGGGCGTAAAATACTCAAATCTTATGTCAATCGAGAAAAACAGATGGCTGCTGAAATCAAAACGACAAAGAAGAAAAACGACGAAACTGGTGAGTTGATTTCAAGAATGAGTATTGTTCATTAAACGTTAAAATGTGAAAACATTACGTATCAGGATACGTAGCTCAGTGTCAACTTCTTAGTCATCCACGAGATAGAGATATTCTTCTTGAGAAAACAATAGATCTATTGATGAAATGAATCATAATTTTCTTGTGAAAATATTACATAATTAGTTTGTTCATTTGTATGATCGAATATTCTCTGCTGGGTTTGTTTTTCTGCTTCTCCATAGAAGATGTGATCGATTTGAATGTATTTTAGAACGTACCAACGCCTCCAAATCAGAGTTGCTCGCACGTCTACACCAAATTAAGCTCTACTTTCATCACGTTCTTAGTGATCAATTCTCTCGCGCTCAGATACCTCAACCGGCTAAACTCGATGTGCGCTGTGTCGAACTCTCGTTCAAAGAAATGCGTGAAGAAGGCTTCGCTGATGATGGACTCTTCGATCAAATGAAAATGTTCTTTCTTCCGTTGACAATGGTTGAGCAAGATCTTACAATTGACGATGATCGATGGAGTCAATTTGCAAGCAGACGACTTGAAGAACAAGTGGCCCTTCAACAGCGTCGTGAACAGCTTTTAGAAAAACTTATCGAAATCGAAGATGAATACTATCGACACGATGATTCGATCACTAAATTAAGGCGAGAGCTAGAAACGGGAACAGCTCGACGTGCTCGAAAGGCATCAGATGGAGAAGGAACTTTTTCCGTTCCACAACTGATTGAAGATCATCACCAAGAAATGGAACAACTGGAACCGATAAGAAGCGAATTGCGAGCCGAAATCAGTACTATTGAAGGTATGGTTGCAAGTATAGAGCAAGGATTGTGTGATCGAATAACAAATCTTGATCGAAATCTCATCAAACCCAATCGTGGATTCATTATGTATGGACCACCAGGTGAGATGAATTGAAAGTAGACTCTGTTTGACGATATCTAACAAAAAGATATGTTGTTTAGGCACTGGCAAATCAGATATTATGAGCAAATTGTCGGTTCGGATCGGAGTAAATATAGTCGCACCGCCACTTGCTGCTGGTGAACTCAATCGATCTCTTGTCGGTGAATCCGAACGAATCATTAATGATATTTGCATGCGTTGTCATCAAACACCGCATCTCATGTGTTGTGTGTCAATCGATGAAATTGATTCATTGGCACCTAAACGTACTGATGAAGCGAGAGATGTCAGTGTGGCCAAGTTGAGTGTGCTTCTATCAGTCATCGACGGCATCAAAGATGTACCCAATCTCATGATTTTCTGTGCCACCAATCGACTGCACACGATGGATGAAGCGTTTTTGCGGCGCATGTCAGGCAAATTCTTCGTTGGACGACCATCCTCACATGCACGCAAGAAGATTTTGTCAGGCATCAAACCGTGGCATGCAGCACCCAACATTCTGGATAAACTGACCATGGCAACGACCAACTTTAGTGGGGCCGCTCTCAGGTATGTACTATTTTCAAGAGATTGAGGATCTTGGTGTGATTAAGAGTCAGGATATAATGGATTCGCCGGATGTAATGGTCGACCTCAATGAGAAGGAAGAACACATACATATCGACAGTCAGACAAGGCGAGAAGGATGAAGCAGACCGAGCTAACTAGTCTAGCAATCCACAGAAGTTCTGTTGAAATTTTCTAGCAATCTCAGGAAATATAGCTGTAAAATTCGTTTTACAATCTTATTATATCTTGTATCAAGGAGTTCTTGTAGGATGTTATAAGATCCTACAAGATCAGGCTTGATCTTATACATGGAGCAGCAAATAGGAAATTACTATCAATTTTGAAGTCTGCATGTCAGAATTATTTAAAATTTCAACTTTTTGAAATTATGAAGACTTTTACAATTTCGCTGCATTAATGATATTTTAGAGAGCTCTAGGTTGCTATATGTATGATTAAGTACTATTTTAAATTTTCTTATTGCAAAAAAAATAACTAGTATATAAATAGACACATATTTGGATCTACGACTACTATCAGTTTCAAAATAGAATGCATCTGAGTGTAAATTGAATTACTTTTGATAGAGACAACATAGAGAACTGCGGTTTTCACCATTCGAAAGCGGAAACTCCGGGATATCCAAACATGTTAGTTTCAGTTGGTCAATATGTTGACCAAGCAGATGAATTTCTTGATGAGCATTTTGATAAACGACTTTTCAGATCAGTTTTGAGTGTAGTTTAAACTTTTAAGACCATCATTCGATAGAAAAAATTATCCTCTATCGATCTACGCAAAGTCCACCTTTCTATCTTGTTCCATTCAGGAGATATAAAGGTTTTCAAAAACTTCCACGTTTTGGTCCCCTGAGTCCTAATCACTGCAAAATATCTCTAGACATAGGTAATCAAGCATTCTAACGTTAGTGGTAACGTTTGTTCTTCGTTTTAGATCGATTTCGCAGCGCTATAGCAGGTTTTTTGACATTTGACATATTCCTATTGTGACGTCGCAAAAAACCGATATTTTCAAAAAACCTGCTATAGCGCTGCGAAATCGATCTAAAAAGAAGAACAAACGTTACCACTAACGTTAGAATGCTTGATTACCCATCTCTAGAGATATTTTGCAGTGATTAGGACTCAGGGGACCAAAACGTGGAAGTTTTTGAAAACCTTTATATCTCCTGAATGGAACAAGATAGAAAGGTGGACTTTGC